CAACATGTCAGTTTTGATATTCATGATTTAATATCACCCCAGTTAATAATCAACAGTTAGGCCTACAGACTAAGCTAGATTGGTAATTGTTTAGAGGAGCAGTCTTAACTAGTAATGGGGACGAGACTGCCTATGCCGAGTCCGAGTCAAGACCGAGTCTTTGAAGGGTCGAGTCCGAGTCAAGACCGAGTCTTTGAAGGAACAAGTCCGAGACGAGTCCGAGAAAGCAGAAATCGGACTCGAGACCATCACTAAGGAGTACATAAGCACAAATTTTGTGGGCAAAAGGGTCCCTTGTCTATTAGCAATTTATGAAGCACAGATCACACAGAAAACTTTGCGAAGCCAGTTGACCAACTTGAACATGTTGTGAAATCTGCGTGGGGAAATCTTCCGCCATCTGAATACGTATTGAAATTACTGGAATAACCGTAAATGTGACTGAACCTTTAGTGTTTTGAGAACATTTTAATAATATAAAGAACATTTTGTGCAATGGAAAGGTTCCATGGATGTTAAATCTTCTTCATGGAACCACAGATGTCAATAAAGAAACTTTATTTTTAAGAGGGAAAGATAGTGAAACTATTTATTTAGGCTATTACGGTATTCATGTAGATTTCTTAATAAATTGATTTTAAAAAATAAAGCTCAAAGGTTGACAACATGGTGGGAAAAAAAGCTTTGTTTTCATTTATAGGGGCCATCAGCATAATTAAGGTTCTTGTAGGTGCCCCTACAATTGACAACAAGCCTCTATTATTAAATGATCTTTAAGTGAAATGATTCACAAGATTCGACGGAAAACGCAAATTTCCTCCACCTAGTGCCCAGACTACTTCATCTCGACACCTACTTAAATGCCTATAGTTCATTCTGTAATGTTGCATTAAACCCTCCACCACGAGAAGCATGGCATTTCGCGGGAAGCAGTGGGGGGGAAAACGGAAGCTCATCCCGCATTCCAACAACGATACTTCCGCTCCAAACTTCTGTTGTACGGTGCACGGCTTCAGAATTAAAACTTAATATTGATTTCGTGTTATTTTGAATTAAAATTTACAGGATGCACGGAATTTCTATATATTTATTCGTTTTATCGGTTGAATCATTCATTGCGCTAATGCAGAAGAATGTTCAAGTGTTCTTTACCGAACGAGGAGGATAAATACATTCCTCAAGACTTTAAAAACAAAGTTGTCTGATAACACTGTTTATATGCAGAACATTTCCAGCGAAAAATTTAGGAGAGAAATTATGCAAAAATATAGTGTCCATCCATGCACAGACTTAAAACAGTTCAAACACCACATCACCTCTTTATTAACATCAAACATGATGCAACGAGGAGAAATTTATTTAGCGAGCTCTTGCGTTGTAATGACTATTTCGCAGTTATGCCCATGCTGGGAGAACATATCTGAAAGTTCACACAGCTAAATAAAGAATCGGAGGATAAACACAGCCATGCTTTACTGTAAAGTCTCACTAAACAGTGTCTATGTGTGAGCATTACGTGCTGGCGTCCACCATTGCTGAATGCGCGAGGGTTTCTGACGGCCTTGGCGCCAAACTCGAGCCGCCCTACATGACGAACACTCTCCAGTCACTACAATCCCTTCTACTGCCATAATGCCACTTCCTGTGTTTATATAACATCATTCAGAGCGTGATCGCAAACTTTAACGCAAACATATTGGTATCGCTGTTACCAATATAGTCCCAGTTGTGTAGTGTGGACGTAAAACCTTGCTCATAAAGGATCTGTAGGAAGCAGCAGGCCCCGCTGCCTGGATAAACTGGCACACTGAACCCTGTGTGGAGACACGAGCAGTATTGTTCATGCAGCACCCTTACCTCACATCCAAAAAATCCAGTGTTTCGGGACGATCGTACACGGCAATAGACTCCGCAAGGCTGTATTCTAGTCAGCAGTCCAGAGGTGCGGCAAATACCCGTTATTTCGTTATTTTTTCTTTCTTGTCCCACTGTCAATATCCCAAAAGCAGAAATCACCCTCTCACCACGACACAACAGCTCTATTGTACTACCCGACCGCTGGGTCCTAAACTCCGCCCATTCATTGCCTTACTGACTGAGAGCGCCACTATGGATGGCTATGATGTAGTTAATGTTAAAAAAACAGAATAAAGTAGCAATAATAATTTAGCTACCTATAAGCAGTTATCAAAGTATATATCTGTAGTCTGGCCTGGGTACCAGTCAAAAGTTTGGAAACATTACTATTTTGTTCTTTTTTGTTTTTTTAAAGAAGTCTCTTATGCTCATCAAGGCTGCATTTATTTGATCGAAAATGCAGAAAAAACAGTAATATTGTTAAATATTATTACAATATAAAATAATGGTTTTATATTTTAATATACTTTAAAATATAATTTATTTCTGTGATGCAAAGCTGGATTTTCATTACTCCAGTCTTCAGTGTCACACAATCCTTCAGAAATCATTCTAATACACTGATTTATACTCGGTTATTATTAATGTTGGAAACAGTTGTGCTGCCTAATATTTTTTTGGAACCTGTGATACTTTTTTCAGGAGTCATTGATGAATAAAAAGTTAAAAAGAACAGCGTTTATCAAAATAGAAATCTTTTCTAACAATATAAATCTTTACTATCACCTTTTTATCAATTTAACACCCTTGCTGAATAAAAGTATTAAAATGTTTTTTTTTTTTTAATTACAGACCCCAAACTTTTGAATGGTAGTGTATATTGTTACAAAAGATTTCTATTTTAAATAGATGCTGTTCTCTTTTAAACTTTTTATTCATCAAAGAATTCTAAAAAAAATAGTATAATTAAAAAAATATCAAGCAACACTGTTTCCAACATTGATAATAAATCAGCATATCAGAATGATTTCTGAAGGATCGTGTGACACGGAGCTCTGGAGTAATAGCTGCTGAATATTCAACTTTACCATCACAGAAATAAATTATATTTTAGAGTATATTAAAATAGAAAACCATTATTTTAGATTGTAACAATATTTCACAATATTACTGGTTTTTCTGTAGTTGTGATCAAATAAATCCAGACTTGATGAGCATAAGAGACTTCTTTCAAAAACATTAAAATTAGTAATGTTTCCAAACTTTTGACACTGTACTTTATATATGTACATATATATATATATATATATATATACACACACTAATATTTAATATAGTTAATCTTTTTGGGAAAAAATATTTCTTGATAAATAGAAAGGTCAAAAGAACAGAACTTATTTTAAATTGATTTTTGTAACAATATCTTTACTGTCACTTTTGATCAATGTAATGCATCCTTGCTGAATAAAAGTATTAGTTTCTTAAACCAGACATTTTAACTGTATAGTGTACATATATGTGTGTGTTTAAGCTTGACAATTCTGATAACCTTTGTAGATTTTATTTAACAACTTGTGTAATTTGTTGTAGAACAAAACATGAAAGTCTCTTCAAGTAATGCTCACCACATATCCTTCCAGGTTGGCCAACAAATTGTTGTTGTGACGTTGTTGTCACAACAATACTGAATCAGAGTTTTATAGTAAATCACAATCTCTTGCAATCAACTCACAAACTATTTACACCTATTAACATTTGCATTGACATCATTGACATTCATGTATTGAGATGTAGTTCAGCTTTGTGTCTATTTGCAGATGAAAAGAAATGAGACGATGGAACTTTAGACCAAAATGAATGTATTGACAAAACACAGCTTATATTCAACTCTACAAAATTGTCTGGTACAAATAAGAACTGTTTAGAAATAATAATAAAATTAAAAAAAAAGGTACACTGTGATTCTCTCATGTACAAATTTTTTTTTTTGGTCACAGGACAGTTGTGCTCTCTAAACGTTCCTACAAAAATAGAGCAGTGTGAAGGAGACAACTCCTTTTAGTAGTACATTCAAAGTATCAGTTTGAACTTTTTACATTCTTTTCAGAACAGTGTTACCGTAAAAACTTATATGAAGGACAAATGTCATTTGTTTACAATAAAAAAAAATACTGACAAAAAAACAGAAAATATAATTTGGGGACAAGCCAAAAGCCATGCTAATGCGAAAAACAAAAAACAAAACATGGCATATATGTTACATAAAAAACCTGATTCAACACAATTAATATTTCTGGCATTTGACATTTTAACAATTATTATGATCTTTTTTTTTTTTTTTTTTACAGTTATCCAGTATACATAAACTAAAAGACTATACAATACGTAATGGAAACAAGTATACAAGCAAAAGAGAATAAAACACAATTTCCAGCTATACATTTATGTAAATAACTAATTAAATAAATATATCTATATAAATCAAATTCATTATTTTCAGCATAAGTGATAAAATTGTCCACAGCAATGTTTGATTAGACTAAAGTTCCAGTTCTCTTTGATTTTGTTCTCTATCTAAAGGCACTTGCCTTCCTGATAGGATCCAAATAACCTAACTGACTATGGCCCTGTTTACACCTGGTATTAAGATGCGTTTTGATCAATCAGATCACAAGTAGACGAGGGAGACACATACCCGTTTACACCTGGTGTTTTAATCTGTCTCTTTTGTCCACTTTCAACCACTTCTGTCCTGATTTTTTCGAGGGGAGGGTCTATGGGTTGGTAAACGCATGGGTTTTTTTCAGATCTTTCGATCTAATGGACAAAATAAGCTCGACAATTTATATAAGAACATGCCCAGAGACAACAGAAAAACACATGGAGAGCAGCAGCTTTCGTTTCTGCTCTGAAAGCCACAAGACCGCACCGAACGTGTGTGTTAGAAATCAGGGATGGTGGGAGAACATGCTTTGGTAAGTTTTCAAATCTTCAAAACAAACTTGGGTCTCCAGCCAAAGTTTAAATCCCATCTGGCTAGCGCGCTTCCCATAATGTTTACGCATTAAGTCAGTAGGCGGAGAGAACGGGGTCTTTTGTGGCTGTCCGACTTCTAACAGCTTGTATTAAGCGCCATCCACTTGTGATCCGATCGACCAAAACACATTTTAACAGGGCCTACATGTCGGTTTCATAGGCATGAAAATGTCAAATTGTCAGATCACAGATCAAACTCATCTGGTAAGAATAAATAGTGGTTATAAACCCCTCAAAATGTTGAGATATCAGTGGCTTCGCATATTAAGTTATGTCATATCCAATTCCCTAAAATGACAAAACCAAACAAATATAAACCCACATTAAGGTAAGGTGCCCCTCTGCGCCCCTTTCACAGTCCCATCTGCATGTCAGCAAAGTTGAAAAAGTTGTCGACATCACGTGATGACGTATGTTTGCTCTCAGAAACAAATACCTGCAAGAAAAGCAGCAGATAGCATGGACATGAGAAGCAGTGTTGGGAAAAGTTACTTTTAAAAGTAATGCGTTATAATATTGCGTTACTCCCGAAAAAAGTAACTAATTGTGGTACTTATTTACTTTTTATGGAAACTTTTCCTCACCCAGACTTGCTTGATTGTTTTTTAACAAAACAAAAAGTTCTAGTTTTGACAAATGTAAAGTCCCTTTCTCCGCAAAAGTGAAACGATCTTTCGATGATCAAGCGCACACAACACCTCTGCACCTTACACCAAATTATGGGGACGAGAGAGGCGTCAAGTCAATAAATTGGAAAACGAAGTAACTTGCATTACTTATTTGAAAAAGTAACTCAAATATTTTGTTGTAAATTTAAATGTAACGCGTTACTTTACTAGTTACTTAAAAAGGTAATTGATTATGTAACTCGTGTTACTTGTAATGCTATACCCTCAACACTGATGAGAAGTGTTCAGCTTCCTCTTATAATTACCTTAGTCCCATTAAACACTTCATTGACAATGGATCGACATGCCTCCACCACACCATCTCCGTTCAGCTCAAGGGCTACCACTGGACCTGCAGGAACAGAGATCATTGTGTTATAACATTTGTATTTGCAAACGGACAACATTTTTCCCAAGAAGCTGCGCATGTTCTTTTTTGCTTTAACACAATGCATTACAGCACCTTTGGTGATCCACTCAGTGAGGCTCTCTGCATTATTCTGGAACACTCGGTTCACATCCTCAGGGCGCATGGAAATCTCTTTGGTCTGAATGAGGACAAAACCTTTGCTGGTCACCTGCATTTAGGGGGATATAGAAAAAATGTATGTTAGAAAATGAAAGCTTGGTTATCAGTTGGTGGACAGGCCGGGATTTGTGTTTTGTATTGAGAAGCATAAAAATAAAAGTAAATGATCACTGCTATAAAGTGGCAGATTTCTAAATGAAGTCAGTGACAAAAAGGTCACATGACAGCAAACACTTGTCTATTTCTGTCTCTTCCTCATATTCGGTTTAGTACAGCTAGAGTCGTCTAAAAGTTTGCTGCTACTTCTCAGAACTTTTTAGCTTGACTGAATAATACAAACCTGTTTAATGCAGAGTGCAAGATTGGATCTAGTGAAAAGTATAAGAATAAAATAGGGTTGATTTCATGCTGATATTAACTAGATCAATATTGCGAATTCATAATGTGACTAACTTTGACCTTACAAACTTTTTTCTGTTCTAAAAATAACACTTGTACATAAATATGCTTTTAATAATGGGTTGATAACTAAAAATATGATGCTCTTATAAGTACACTATAATTATATGTTTTGTAATAAAATATTGAAGTGCTTCATATATTTAACTGCTTTATGGCTTGAAGCGGCAGGGCAATTCACTTTGAATTGAACTATGACTGAGGTAATTTTAATAATAATAATATTTTCAGCAATCAGTAATTTCCTTAATTTACGCAATTATAAAACTAAAAAGCACACAAGAACTGATATGGAAGCCTGTGTTGAATTTTGCAGGCAACATCTACAGCAGACAAAGATGGATAAAAGTTACAAACACGTGAAGTGGGAATAAGATACATACCCTTTTCTATATATAGGTGGAGTGACTGAAGAAAGCTGATTTCATTTCAGCAATTAACATGGAAAACTGACTATGAACAGCATTTTTCAATAAGACGTTAAACTAAAAGCCTACACGCAAAGCTTTTCTTTAGAAATGCCACATTAGGAAATTTTGATTCATTCTGATTAATAATCCAGGTTGACTAACTTCAAGCTTGCAACAAGAATAAAATTCAAAGAACAAATATGCTGCACATGATGTCAGTTTGTAGATCGCCCACTGTCGCAACCATGAATGACAATTCTACAGCATCGACTATCAAACTAGGTCTAACCTCATCAATAAGCTTCCGGGCATTAGCAGTTGTGTAGTCCCCAGAAAAGAAGACAAACAGGCAGGACTCTTCACTCTCTTTACGCCGGCCTCCTTTCGTCATGGGCACTATGCTCCGACTTGCTTCAGAGGAGATTCTCACAGACTTGAATTCTGACTCTGGATCTGGTAGAGGCACATGCTCCTGGACAACAGCATCTTCCGGTAGGAGACTCCAATTGGTCTCCCCAGAAACAGGTGTGAAGTCATGAATATTGCTCCAGTTGTTGTTAAAGATGCTTAGGCCTGCATCTTTAAAGTGAAAAGCCAGCTCAGGATAGTAATACTGGAAGCAGCCAAACTTCATGCCCGTAGAAGACTCGATGATGGGCTGGGTGGCGCAGCACAAAAAGACGTCCATTTTCTTGCAGTCTCTGGTGCGGAACTGCTGGCAGGCCACCACACACTTGATATCTTTGCAGTCTCTGAAGAACACACTGCCTTTAACCGGACCCAATATAATGCGGCAGTTCACACAATCGTCAATGGTAATGGTCGCTGAATGGTCGAATACGTAGATGTTACAGTTCTCACAGTCCTGAATGACAAACTGCTGGCCATTGAGTTTGCCTGGCAACCGACCCACAGTCTCATTCTTAAGGCCTGTCAGCATGAAGTCTTTGGGATCAACCTGCAACAAAAGTGCAAACATGTCAAGGTCAAAAAATGAGGAACTTAAAAAAAAAAAAAAAAAAAAAAAAAAAAAAGTGATAAAACCATTATCATATCAGCTATCTTTGCATCCTGGTTCTTTTCACAACAGGATGTAACAGTTTGTGTTTGTTTATTAGTTAGACATTTGATGCTTTTATCCATCTAAACAACTTCTGTTATTTAGTGGGGCTTGACCTAGTACATGCTTTAGAACAAACATGTAACCGTAAGTATTTAACCTATAAAGCCTACTGAACCTATAAAGCCTATAAATAACTTCTATGGCCTTGTCTAAATTATCAAAAACTTTGCTGAAAAAAAAAATCTGTTGTACACAATCTTCTACTTGCCTTCTGCCCTCTGATTGACAATTTTCCCCCACCACAGTCCAAAGACATGCAGGTTAGGTGGATAGGATATGCCAAATTGGCCTTAGGTGTGAATGCGTGTGTGTGTGTGTGAGCGAGTCCCAAGCCATGTAATAAGGAGGGTTGGGTAAAGACCTGGGAAGTGGCAACCTACCCCAGAAAAACATTGCCAAGAAAATGAATGGCCATAGAATCACCAAGAGTCGGATTCGACTGAAATGGTAATATAGATAGACAGATTTATTGCTCAATCATCATTGCATTATATGTTTTGCTCTTAAAATTAAAACTAGAGCTTTCATAAAACTAAGGATTTAAATCTCTTCTTACTAAGACATATTATTGGGAGATAGAGAGTGACAGCTGATAGTCTTTTATACTGTCATACAAATCTTGTTGATTATACATTACAAGCTATCACTTACATTTTGACCATATAAATAACATCTGCACCAAATTGCATATTTTTGACAAGTTTGGCGCTCTGAATAAAATCCAGATTATACAAATAAGAATCAAATGATACAACAAATAAAATTTAGATTTTCCTTTTAGAATAGAAAAAGGGGGAAAAAACATCCACAAATTTAAACTAAAGGAGGGATCTGTGCTATATCTAGGGAACAGAACATAATTTAGACTTTAAGAGCTCTTATGACTTAGCCACCACTCAGAACATCCCAACAATCACATATCAACACCCTGGCAACTCCCTTGCTAAAGAGAACTCTTGAGTTCACAGATTGTCCCTGCCAACAAGGGATCAAACCTGAGACATTTAGGTTGCCAGGCCAGATATTTCCTTATAAACATCTACTTAGCTTGTTGCTAACCCATATAAGGACTATAGGTCAGATTCGTTGAGTATGTAAACTCGCATCCTTTCAGTAGTTGTAGTCCATAATTAGCAACATACTACCAGTTTATGTATTTAAAAAAACTGGAATGACTGTGTGTAATTTATGTTGTATTAACAAAATGTGAAAGTAATGTTTAAGTCGTGATGAAATGGAAGTAGCAAAATAACTTGTATACCATACTGTGATGTACATCCATACTGTGAAAAGAATATAGAAAAATAAAAAATATATAGAGCAGGGGCTTAGTTCTATGCAACGGTTGTTGATTGAATTTTGAGATGTTGGCATTCAAAAATGAATGTGATCTTGCAGTTGATTGTGGGTGTGTTGACTTAATAATTGCGTTTTTGCATACATCAACAGTTATGACAGACTAGAGTGATGACATTTGAATAAAAAAATACTATTGAAATACTATTAAAAAATACTAGCCTATTGAATTAAATAATAAATATAGTACATGGATGAATCATTCACAATGAGATCTATAATATGCATTTACACTAATAGATATAGGGTGAGTTTTCATTTCTTGCTGACCAAATCTATAACAGACCAGCTAAAAATCCATAGGAAACACCCAAAGGCTTGAAAATGTTAGTTACAGTCCAGATTTAGCCAACTACAAAATGAAAAGTGCTATCAAGTTAGATGATTTACTTTTTTTAAATACTTTTAAATTTATCTTGTGGGGCCCCTAGGAATTACAAGTCTAATAGTAATGCTACAATAATTTGTAGTATTTATGTGTGCAGCAGACCATATGAGAAATCTGACTGTTGAACTTGTCTCGTGCATTTATTGGCTTTCAATCTGCACTTGAATACATCGATCAGGGCAATGTTTAAACATTATAGATTCATACTTCAATAGCTCTCAAAGCTTTGTAATGGTTTTGCGGTCGAAGGGGCTGACGGACACTCCCACCCTCCCTGTTCCTCCTCAATATGGTGTCATGCATGTTGATGGCGACACCACTTATGTGCTAATCCCTAACACAGCGGTATCTGGGCACGCGCCAGGCAAACAAGTTACGTGCCTCGACTTTAAGCCGATAATAAGCTCTGTCTATAATTTACCATAGTATGTGAAAACCTATGACCGCCGAGAGACTCTCGTATCGATGGTCAATCGAAAGCAACAGTGGCAGGCAGGCAGTCAGTCAAAAACACTGAACTATAGGGGCCAAACCCTTCGCTTGCGTGATTACGCATGTAGTGAACGGCGTAAAATGGGCTTTAACGAGGAGAATTGAGCTAACGCATAATAATAGCCATTTCGGATGGACTTACATTTCAATCTGTATAATTCTTAAAGAAATTAAGCAACATAATACCCGGTCTACTTACAGTCTAGTGAACAAAAACAGGTTAAAATGCAGCGTCGTACCTTTTCTCGTTTGTCCCAGCTGTATTGCTTTGGAGCCTCCTGGTTGCTGTTGCTGCCCAGCGCAGAGTTGTTAGTTTCGGGGAGGTCATTGCCCGTAGCGCTCTCGTCCCTAGTGGGCAAAGCGGAGTCTTTTTTAGGAGATTTTCTCCGAGATTTTTTGGAGAAGAAGCACCCCATTTATGGCTGATATGTCAGTGCGCCCCTCCTGTTGTAAATGCCACGCGTTTCTGAAATACTCTCGATCAGTCGCAGTAGCGCTCCGTCTCTCTCACCCTCCCCAGAAAGTAATCAAGAACACGCACGCAACCTGTGCGCTTCCCGTTTCCTTGACCCTCGAATCAGCCAATCACTACAGCGGAACGCGTTACTAGGTAACAGCGAATCAAAGCCGGTGCGAGTGGAGGGGGGTGGAGGGTTGCGGTTATTACTGATATTTGACCATGCAAAAAAGAAGAAAAAAAGACATTTTGTTCGTGGGTTGGGTAAACTCATCTTTGCAGATAAGTAATTGATGTGAATCATACTGGTGATTACATTTTTGGTTGTCTGGTCACACACACACACACACACACACACACACACACACACACACACACACACACACACACACACACACACACACAGGCCTAATAAATATATATAGGCCTACGGTATAATATAATGATATAATTATACTCATATATTATGTAAACAAAATCCTTTATGTTTGATAGCTCTAATTTGTTTATTTTATATTTATTACATTTTTATACATTATATATAAATATGTATTATATATATTCATAACTATATAAAAAATTATATTATATTCAGGGGTTTAGGCAGTTGTCAGGCAAGGTAGTCCTTATTTTAGCTAAGGGAAGATGTAGTAGAATTGACTCCCTCAAGAACATTGTAGTCTACATTTAGTGATAAATTGGTGATGATAATAATGATAACAATAGTTTGTAGCATTTATATAGTGCTTTTCTTTGCACTCAAAGCGCTTTACAAGAGGGAATCTCTTCAACCTTCACCAATGTGCAGTATCCACCTGGATGCTCAACACATGCCCAATTCCCAACACAGTTTATTGGTGGAGAGGAGACAGAGTGATGAAGCCAATCAATCATATATGGGGATGATTAGGAGGACAGAGGCCAATGGGCAAATACATTAAAAATCCAAGGATGCCAGAGTTAAACCCCTTTTCGAAGCACATTTTTGAAGGATTTTTAATGACCTGGCCTCACTAACACCTCTTGCAGCAGCAACCTTGCTTTCCCAGGAGGTCTGCCATTCAGGTACTGACCAGGCTCAACCCTGCCATAGCAAATTAATTATTTTTGGGTTATACACTCTTAAAAAGAGTTTAGTCATTATTACTAGTACTCAGAACAAGAAAATGATGACTTTCCATTTTTCATATGGCAAAGGAAATGTGATAGCATACAGAAGAGCAAAAAGGAAATGTAAAATTCCTGTTGTTTCAATCATTGTGACAGCTATAGTCCTCGGAGGTCAGTAATTCATACTTTGCACGTGACGTCACAAGTACTGGCTGGCGGGCAAGAACGTCGTTCTCCAGCAACGAAACCCAGTAAACTAATCAAGGATCTTGCCAGGACGTCGCCAGTTTTACTAAAAGTTGGTGTTTTGAGGTTTGTGATATCTATGGTTTTCAATGAGAACCAGAGATGACCCAACAGTAGAGCTAGATTATTTACGGAGGAATTATTACTGCGCCGATTATCTTAAAAAACCTTGTCTGCTTTACACAATTTAGCTACTTTGGAGTTAATCCTATTTCTAGTCCATAGTTATGCTAGCTCGCTAACAGACTTGATAGCTACTAAAAGACATGGAACTACAGGACTCTACGTTGAAAATACCCGTTTGTTGCCCGCCAGGTATCCATGGTAGTCACTCACGTGACTGCAAAGTATGAATATTAAGAGTTTTACACTCTTCAAAACAACTAAATTTTCCGTGATTTAGAGAAAAGTAGGCCTACTTTTGCTTCAAATGTTTGTAGCATATCTGAAATGATCAAATCTTATCAAATCAAATGTGTCAAATCAAAATAATCTGAAAACTAAATCTTTGTATCACCTTTTAAAATGTGTCTGTTCTGTCACCAAGCCCAAACTTCAAAACTTCAACCCTGTTCAACGTTATTGTAAATATTTATATTATAAATTAAATATTTTTCTTTAATTGAAGTGTATCAACAACTAGCCTACAAACCAAAGCTAAGTGACATAATGTTACATTATTTGCTTACTAGGCAACTGAGACAAGAACAAATCAGTGTTTTAAACTGGATTTAGACAGGGCTTCAAACAATTTGAAGCATTTATAAAATGCATAAGCTAAAAAGCTATTTGACCTTTGAAATTTGACCTCCTTGGTCAACAAATGACAATCAACATTTTCTGAAGATTAAGTACATCCTTTTCTGATAATCTGTTGAAAAATAATAATAATAATAAACACTTTAAGAGTTTCAGGCCCAATTTTGTATTATGCTTGTGGAAAGTATAGGCATAGGCCTACAGTAATAGAGTAAGAGTGGAGTAGTAGCGCCGCTACTACTCGATCAGCCGCTAGCGGTGTGCGTGTGTCTTTAAGAGCTTGAGCTGCGGTCTGCTGCTGCTCTCATATACCTGACGCAGCTGAGGAGGCAGTGAGTGAGTGAGTGAGTGAGTGAGGGAACCCGCCACAAGCATCCTGCACCATGGAGGCGGTCACAGCACCAAAGCCATGGACATTATATGCACCAGGACACAGCTCGCTATTTCCTATTTTAATGTTCATTTTAAGCCAATGTTGTCGGATAAGAGCAGATGACGGCGGCATTGAGGAACTTGCCACCGAGAAAGAGGCAGAGGAAAGTCACAGGCAGGACAGCGTGAATTTACTCACATTTATTTTGCTTTTGACACTCACCATCCTCACAATATGGCTCTTCAAACACAGAAGAGTGCGCTTCCTGCACGAAACCGGACTGGCTATGATATACGGTGAGAATGAGTCTTTTTGCGAAAGGCGTTAGACATCGGCTGCGTCTCAAAACCGAGTGAGCCGCCGAGCTCGACAGCATTTTTGACCGTTATAGTAACTTACCGCGTCATCAGAGCTAAATCATTTTTAATTCGCGTGTTTTTTTTTTTTGTGCATGTTTTTTTTTTTTGCCTACATAGGCAGCTCATTAGGTTTTGAAACACAGCCATCCTGTAAACCCTTAGCTAAGCCTCACATGAATGAGCCTGTGTAACGTTAGCCTGCTAGCTTGAACGAGTGCTAATACAAAACCTTGTGGATCGAATGTCATCTCATTTCAATGTGGTGTTGAAGTATTGTAACGTATACTTCTGTTTTCGTTAATATTGGTGAATGTAGCATAATAGCTGACACATGTATTTGCCTATATGCAACCCACAGTTTTAAAATCGCATAATATTTAATGTTTAAGAAATTATACCCCGTTTTCTCTTGGTCTCCTTTTTTATTTAGCTTCTGTCACAAGTCCTGTTGAGTTCCTCATACTAGCTTTGAATAGTGTTACAGCTTTTGTATTTCAGGTTAGATCAGTCTACAGCAGCATTCTGATCTTAAGAGTCGTCACTAGGCTATTTAAGCTCTAATTTAAAGGAATAGTTCCCCCACAAAATGCATTCACTCACTCGTGTTGCTTCAAACCTTTTTTTTCCCTTTTTGCTGTGGAACACAAAAGGAGAGTTTTTTTTTTTAACAGAATTGTACTGGTTGCTTTCCACGCATTTGCAATGAATGGCAACTGAAGCTTTTAGCTTCAGAAGGGACAATAAAGCATCATAAAAGAGATGCGAATCGTTCATATACCTGGTCTTTTGAAGCCTTTGAAGGAACAGATCGAAATTTAAGTCATTTCTAAAGAGATAGTTCACCCAAAAATGTAAATCATGGGGTAATTTTATTTTTTGGGTGAACTATCCCTTTTAACTGAAAACCTTAGTATTCTTGAAAGGAATTAAACTCTGATATGTATCTTTTGAGTTTAATTTTTAATCAGAATCCAGAAAACCCAGTTGCACTGTTTAACAGTAGAGAATTGTAGAGCAAGATTAGCAATGCATAATAGTTACAATTTTGGTCTGTTCATCACTCAAGACAATTTTTGTCATACTTCAAATACTTTTGTGGTGCTGCTTATGCATTCTTTATGACGCTTGTATGGCTCTCTCTCTCCATTCATTGTGTACAAAATGAGCAGTACAATTCTTCAAACTATCTCCTTTTGTTTTCCATGGAAGAATGAACATTAGAAGGGTTTGGAATTATATGAGGGCGATTTAACTGATGAATGTTATAAAAATGTTTTTTGGTGAACTACCTAATCCAATAAGACAAGTGTGAAAAATCAAAGGCCTTCAGCAAGGTCAGCCAACACCTGTGTCTTCATGTGTTGTCTTCAATGAAAATGAAATCTTTCATCAGTGCATGCTTTGAAGTACAAAAGCATTGCTTGGACATGAGAGAAAGGCTGGGTTAAATGTCATTTTCCGAATGGCTTATGGTTGTTGTTTTTGCTAGTTAGACTTACTGTATGTCTAATTGGTGGGATTAGTTTGTCTGATTTGGTTAAACCTTTCTTTGGCCAAGGTGCTTTAATAGACAGTAGAGTTCTGACAGTTTACAGCAGACTGTAAAAATGTAGGTTCATTTTCAGACCTATGTCATTATTTTAATATTTTAATTAGTCAGATGCAACTTATTTTTTACAGAATGTTGCAGTGTTTATAAATGATTTATCTGTGCACATCATTATTTAAAAAAAAGAGTCCCTTTTCACATGACGTTACGCAACTTCTGTTTTGACTCGAAGCGGTGTATTCTTACTTCCATCAGCATAGGAAAACCAGCACCACTCGAATGGAGTACACCCACTATTTGTATATCTGCCACAAATACGGTTCGAGGATGACTGCAGCCGCCTGCTTTCATCTACATTCAAGGCGATCTCAAACGAACTAACCCGATCAGTGTGCTTTATTGCTCGAAGTTCAAATGGAGCACTTGATTCGTACACTTTCTGCTTCGCGTATTAACTCTTACACGGTGTTTGCTGTTTTTATTGCAGATAAAGTTGGTTAGATCAGATGCATTTGTTAAAGCAAAAATAAAGGCCTTGCAATGTTTCAAAATAATTAAGCTTAACTTTATTCTTGAACTGGATAATATTGGCTTTTCTTTCAGAACACTTGCATTAATGGATGTGAAATTTGACATGTAATATAAGAATACTTAATCCATGTAATTTTTCTCGATCGTAAAAGAAACCCATCACGTCAACGTTGGTCTTTT